AAGCCTACACGTTTCCAGGGTGAAAGCAACACACCACAGTCATGTCTTCTTATACTGACATCCTGCTGAATACTCTCCGCACTCTAACTACACACGAAGTCTGGGACTCTGAACGAATTGTCGTTGTTAGGTGCTGCTGAGTCGTTTTCAACTCGTACCACCCCATGGAACAGAGTCGAGCTACCCCATAGGCTGTAATCTTTACAGAAGCAGATTGCCAGGTCTTTCTCCCATGGAACTGCTGGGTGGGCTCGAGCTGCCAACCAAAAGGTTGGCAGCTGAGCACTTAACTGTTTGTGCCACCAGGGCTCCTGGAATGAATTATTCCTGCTCTTATTTGAAAGCTTTCCATGGAAACCCTCCTCCGGTCACTGTCTGCTATCAAACCCACCAACACTGACTCTTTACTTCTTATTGCTTCTCTGGCCCTCACAATCTTTGGTTTTTAGGCTGGTCGATCCCTTGGTGGTAAATGGCTCGTGCTTGACTACTAACCAAAAGGTCGGCGGTTTGAACCCACCCAGCAGTGCCACAGAGAAAAGGCCTGGCAATCTGCTTCTGTAAAGATTACAGCCAAAAAAAAAAAAAAACCCTATGGAGTTCAGCTCTACTATAACACACAGGGTCGCCATGAGTCAGAGAGTCAGAAATGACTCAACGGCAACGGGTTTGGTTAGCGGAGGGTCAGCAGCGCTTCCTTCACCGGCTCCTTTAGAGCTCCCCACCCCACCCCAGCCCCCACCTCTGAGGGCCCGCATCACCTTTGCCTTACCTGAGCCTAGAATCCTCTTTCTCCGGTTTGGACAAACGCTCGAGGCACCAATGTGTCCACCCCCACAGTCTTGTTACCACTTGTCCCTCAGATTCTTTTCACCGTCGGTACTGGCCTTGTCTCTCAAGCGTCATCCACTTCAATGTCTTTTCAGTATCCCCGACCTTCCTCTTCTTCCTCCTCTCTTTTCTCAAAGCCGCCTTCTTAGGCTCTTGCTTTCCATTAAATGCTCACCTGCAACAGGGCTGCACCACTGAACTTTTCTGCTCATTTTAAACTACTTGCCTCCGAAGGCGTGCTCACTGACTATAAAGGATTAGGTGATTTATTTACTTATTTTGTTTTTTATTGTGATAAAGTATACATAACAAAACACACGCCATCTCAACAACTCCTACGCGTACGGTCCAGTGACACTGATGACATTCTTCAAGTCGTGCAGCCATTCTTGCTATCTTTTTCCAGATCATTCCACCAGAATTAGATCTGTTTTTATGATTTGAGAATGACAGCAGGAGAATATCTTCCTTCCTGGAAAACGGCCTCAAAAAAGGAAGCTTTTCTCAGGAAAGAAGACCACGAAGGTCATGTTCTGAACTTTTGTGCACTTTTGATCACCTATTTGTGACTCATCGGGTGTGCTAGGCAGACACAGCAAACCAAAGTCCCCTTGCCTAGTGTGGTAACCGATCCTGTAACATTTTTCAAAGCGGCGAGAAAAAGGCAATCACGATACTCAAACAAGATCCTCCCTGCAGTGATCCTGAAATCCAAGGAATATGGCAAACACACCAAATACCGCCCTGTTTGACTCCACTGCAAATAACTTTCACGCATTGAGAGATGATTCAGCTTAAACCAAAACTCACATTTCCCTGAACAATGTTTCTCTTAAGCACCATGCATGTTAACCCCATTCCCAACACACAGATAGAAAAACAGAAATAGAGAGTAAGCAAACAAGAGACTAACCCAGTTATCAAGCTTTACCATAAAATGCTCCTATGAGACTGTCACCTGGAATTTACCACGTTTATTCAATCTCCAGGGTAGTATTTACCTTAGGCTGCCAGTCTAGTAGATGTCAACTTGTTTGATAAAGAAAGTGCTTACAACACTTTAAAGATTGCTCCAGTAAAAATCACTTTATTTAACACAGACGTAATAGAAGAAAACTTGCTTTCAGCTCATCAAGATTTTGACCCTGCAATCCTGTACTTTACAACAAACCACATCCCTCCGTTGTAAATCTGTATTAAAACTCTCACATAAGGCAGCTGCTAACTTCTTAGGATATTCAGGAAGGGACACATCCATATGTTGATCTTGAAATAACTGGGTCACTTTTACTCTAGCCTGGTGATCCATCACCTCATTCCGGTTATCATGTACCCCCAGGCTATTTAAGTTACGAAAGGCTGCTGGAAAACTCGGGGTCTCAGGCACTCTTAAAAATGAAAAGAAAAAAAAAAGGGACGACTATATTACTTATTCAACTCTATAATAATTTAAAAGCATTCATACGAAGCTTCGTTAACTCTGAGTCAGTCATTGTGTTCGAAATGATACTCTCTAGGGTTACCTTGCTGTCTCCTCTTTACTTGCAAACCTCTCAACGTGGAATGAGATACAATCAGTCAGATGAGCAACGCACACGGAACACAGATTTAATCATACCACAACATACTGAATCACTGTTTGCTCTAATTTCTCCTGTACACACTTCAGCTTCACAATTACAGCGGAAGCAGGGCCCTGGTCCACGTAAATATAAGGACTCTCCAGCCTCCGAGGTTTTTTTTAAAACTTCCCTTTCTTTCCTACAGAGCCTCCGGGTGGCACAAATGGTTTGCGATCCACTACTAATAGACAGGTTGGCGTTCAAACCCACCCAGTGGTGCTGCAGAAGAAAAGCCTGGCAATCTGCTTCCAAAAGGATTATAGCCAAGGAAGCCCTATGGAGCAGTTCTACTCTGTACCACACGCTGTTGCCATGAGGCAGAATCAACTCCATGGCAATGGATTTGGTTTGGGTTTTTCTTTCCTACTAAGACGGTTATTAAGGAGCCCTGGCAGTGCAGTGGTTAACCCCTTGTCTGCTAACCGAGAGGTCAGCAGTTCGAACCCACCAGCTGCTCCATGGGAGAAAGACGCAGCAATCTGCTTCCGTAAAGATTCCCACTGCCGTCGAGTCGACTCCGACACATAGCGACCCTACAGGACAGAGTAGAACTGCCCCATAGGGTTTCCAAGGCTGTAATCTCTGCGGGAGCAGACTGCCCCATCTTTCTCCTGCAGAGTGGCTGCTGGGTTTGAACCGTCGACCTTTTCGATAGTGCTTCCTATACGGTCACTATGAGTTGGAATCGACTGGATGGCAACAGGGAATAGTGGTGGTGGGGGAGACAGTTGTTTGGGATTTGAAATCCATGATCTTGCAGAAAGAAACAGCATTTTATTTGGTTAGATTCTCAGGTCATCTCACTTAACACATAACTACCCCAGACACAGTATCCACTGCAATCGCCAGCCTGGCGACACTGTTGCAACAGGCACGAGAGTGGAACACCGCGTGTGGGGACACGCCTGCACAGAACGGACTGCAAAACTGGCTCTTGCTGTCCTCAGCGTGAGGGAAGCTGAAAAACACCGAGGGGAAGTCCTGCCGTGGCAGGGGAAGGCCGCCACCTTTACTTGCTTTGAGGGTACCCCCAGCCAGCCCCCATCCACATCTGAGGACTGGAATTGAACACAGACGCATCAATAAATCCTCATTGAACTGCGTTCTGTTCATCATTTACTTATTCTTCGAACATTTACAAGTACCCACTGGTGGCGCAGTGGTTAAGGGCTTGGCTGCTAACTGAAAGGTTGGCGGTTCACACCCACCCAGCAGCTCCCCAGGAGAAAGACCTGGCCATCTGCTCCCGTAAAGATGACAGTCTAGGAAACCCTATGGGGCCGTTCTACTCTGTCACATGGGGCCGCTATGAGCTGAAATCAACTCAGCAGCACCCAACAACAACAACTAAGTATCACAATGGATTTAAACATATTAACAATTGTGAAAATGGCAGAGGACTGGGCAATCTTTCATTCTGTTGTACATAAGGTCGCCATGAGTCAGAGCAACCAAGTATGAAGCACCAATAGGGCAAAAATGAATGGGACGGAATCTCTGCTGACGGCGAGTTAGCGTCGGCGGGCAGTTAGAGAAACTGCGAGGCCTGATGCAAAGCAGCCCCTAGGAATGGTTTGAGAAGGTCCTATCTGAGGCCAGATGGGAGCACTTCTAACCACAGGGAGTCCGGGCAGATTTCACTAAGCCTGCCTTTCAGGAGATCCTCTAGGATGAAGAGCAACCCTTTGCTAGCGTCTGTATATAACCTAGATAAACCTGAGTAAGGATCACTGCAAATGTAGCACCACCGAAAGCTGAGGTCACATTTACATTCAAAAGAAACAGGGCCCACATGTTAACACTTTTGTCCTACTAGGGGAGAATTCTCGCTCACTATTCAAAAATGGAAACGTTCGGTGTGTACGGAGGGAGGGGCATGCTGTGTTTCTTTCTGAAAGCCCTAAAAAAATCCTAAGACAGTTGGAGCCGAGATCACACAGGTCTCAGAACTGGTGCCACAAGAAACACAGACAGCCTCCGTCCGGCCGGTCTCCTTCCTCTGAGATACCGCTATGAGTCGGAATCACCTCGACGGCAGTGGGAATCTTTACGGAAGCAGACTACCTCCTGGGACGTGCGTGGTTTTTCACACTTTACAAAGCGTCTCCACGTAAGCTGCCACTGCTGAGCTTCACAATCTTTCAGGAAGGAACTGTTTTCTGATGAAAAAACAGCAGTTTGGAAAGGTGGGTAAAGGTCCTGGGGCCTGGCCGCTCAGGAACTAGAATCCAAATCTGGTATAAATGATCCAGCCCCTTTCCCACTGCATCAAGCTGCCCCCTGGTGCAAACCAAAATCTTCAATGACTTCTGCTATAGGCTGACCTCAAAACAAATGCAGGTTCCTCACAAAAAATAGTGACAAGAAATAAGCCTTTCACTTTTTGAAGAGCGCAAACTCTTCCACGGCATCACAACATCATGACTAGAAGATGCTACATTATTACATACTCTAGAGGACAGAGAAAGAACACACCTCCAAATAGAGAGCACATCAGACCAGGTGCCAGTCTGTTCCCGTAGAACAGACCTGGTGACTCACACGCACAGAGTGTTCCTTCCAGCCATCAGCTCCGCACGGACCAGACAGAAGTACTCTGAGGAAGAGACAGGGCTTTTAAGTATGGTCCACTTAGGGCTTTTCCTTCTATTTGCTTTTTGACTTCAAAGTGCCTTTAACATCCAAATTGTAAATTAAAATTCTTCGCCTAATTTTCCCTGATCACATTGCCTTAGAGGTAATCTGGCTCCTTTTAGTAATTAATAAGATTGAAACAGTAGTTACAGCAAATGCCTTTCCTACAAACAGGAACTCTGCCTTTTGTTTTTTTTTTTGAAACATCTATGGAACATTTACAAAATTGACACTACACCGAGCTGCCAAAAAGAGAAATAAAAGCAGAGGCCCTCAGATTCTGAAAAAGCAGAAATTACATAGGCCACATCCTCTGACCGAATGCAACAAAATTAGCATAAGGGTTCCACAAAAAGGCCAGCCCCTTGAAAGTTAAAACCCCCATCTGCTGTCATTAAGAATATATCCATTCACACACACAGGGCAAAAACCGTGGGAGCGGAAAAGAATTTGGATGTTTAAATTCTACGTACAAGTCTGGCAAACACGAGCTAGTGAAAAGAACTATTTTATGCTTATAGGATGTCCCTTATTGTATGTTTAACGTGGGAAAAGAGAGAAAACATTTTTTTTTTTCCCTACCATTAGCTAATCTACTTTGACTGCAAAGTTGCGTAGAATTTAGTCAGGTGCACAGTCTCCAGAGAACATGAAGTGTTTCTGGTCTTCCACGGACCGTGACCACACAGACCGCATCATTTGGCGACTTCTTCAGGCTCCCCCGCCCTGGCTGCTGGCAGTTCTAGAACTTTCCTACTATCTCAAGAAGCCATCTGCTTAACCTTCACATTAGGATTAGAACAGCTAAGAAGCAGCGTGCTGTTCGGCGGTATCTACAGGTTAAGCGACCACTAATAACAGCATTTTCAGCTATCTTATCTCGTTATAAATTACGGGAAACCAGCCTCTGAGAGAGAAGTGAAGTTCTTCTCGAAACCGACACATTAACCCAGGACTTTATAAGAAAGAATACGTCCAATTTTATCTTAGCTGAAAAGCACTGAAACCGTATTTGACGATGCCTCATAAAGTGGCAATAATCATTAACAGCCAAACTGCTGATGGGCAGAACTAAACACTTAACTCTTTGGATGCGGAACCCTCTGTAAAGCCAATCTTCCATTTACCTGTGATGGCGACGTCTTGGTTCTGAGATTATCTTGCCACAACTGTTACTTCACGGGAAAGGCAGGGCCTTTAGCTTCAGCCTTGGCAGCAAGAAGGTAAAGGAGGAAATTATTACGATATGTTCTCTGGACTCGCCCCAACTCTCCACCAACTTGTAAGAGGATAGTCATTGTGACAGAGGCTACGGCATGGCAGGATCGTTCCCACGAAAACCCTTTGCCCCTGCTCCTGCGCCCAGTTTCTCCGCGCACTCTTTCGCCGGCAGCCCGAGGGGTGGGGGGTGGGACATGGGGAGGGCAGGGCTGGCGCTGGGGCGTGGGGGTGTGCAGCCCCAAGGTCTCATAACGCCCCGCGAAGCCCGCGACACTCTACAACCATGTCCTTTTCTTAGAAAGAATCTTGACATTTGTGGCACACTTTCCCCTCTTTCAATTTGAAAAGACGAGCAAAGCAGGGCTGAGCAGCTGTCCCCTGCGTCGGGACAGGCGTGGGGCAGAACTGCTGCCCCTTCCTCCAGCACCCCTGCACCCCTCTGGCTCCACTGCGCCCCGCGGGCCAAGGCGCCGAGAGGCCCGGGTTCGGAAGGTCGTGGCGCGGCCTTCGCAGAAACCCACGCGACCCGTCGGGGCCTGCGCGGGCTCGCCCGTCGGAACTGGGCACGACAACAGCGCCTGTCCCGGGCGGTGCAGGGCGCAGGGAGACCGTGTCTCCAAGGCGGCCCGCGGCGCGGGCGCAAACGCGCCGGGAGTTTCTTCCGTAGACCCGGCGCGAGCACTTGCCTCCCCGGGGCTAGTGGCCGGTCCGCGGGGTTGCCCGCTTCGGGGGCCTTGGGGGGGTCTCAGGAACACTCTCAGGTCGGTGACACCAGGACCTCCGCGTAGCCCCCGCCCCCGGCGGACGAGGACGCGGGGTGCCGGGCCCGGCCAGGCGCTCCGAGTGAGGCGGAGCAGGGCGCCCGAGGCCGGGG